ATTTATCCGATGTCATTTTCAAGACTGCATGAAAAAAAATGGGATATTGTATTCTCAAATAAAAAAAAATAAAACAATAACTGAAGTATTGTTTTTATTGACCTTTCAAATAAGTAAGTTTCTCTGGCGCACCCTGTACTACACCCGCAAGTTTTCTTGATATGCGGGGAGTGCGGGGAGAGGAGGGCTCTAATCACGTCACTACTTAAAAGGGCGTACCAACTGTGGGCATGAACTTAACGCCCCAAAGCGTGCCACGAAAAATACAACGATTGTTTTGAAGGTACGATGTGATTGTTGGCAGCATTGTAAATTGGTACGTGCCGCTCCGAATTGAACTTAACTATTTCAACGGGCCGTGCTATTTAGCGCTGGAGAGGACTAGGGAGCTCGTGTATCAAGAAAACTTGCGCGTGTAATACTTTGAGCCTCCAAGTGTCGCCTCCTCCATCGGTCCACACACATCAGCATTAATGATCTCACCAGCACTCGTTGCTTGTTGCGTTCTTGACTTGAAATAAGCCCTCTGCTGCTTCCCCTCCACACAAGCTCCACAAAAGAAGTCTTCTCCCTTGACACCTATGCCGCGCTCTGACAGAAATCTTTCTACGTGACGTTTGTTTTGATGGCCCAAACGATCATGCCACACTCGGCATCGGCTCGGAGAGACGGCCAAAGACAGGTTGACTTCTCTATTAAAATTACTCAATGCACGAATATTCAACTTGTATAACATTCCACCGCATAAACACACAGCTCTATCTTTGGGGACGAACTCGCACCTTTTGTCATCTGCTCGCATGGACTCGCACAGACATGAATTTGCGACGACCAATAGGAAGATTCAGTACGTTGTAAATGTGGCCTGTCAACCACTCACCACTGATCAGAACTTCACAATCAATACTCCCTTTACCGACAGCACTCACTGTTGACTTGTCCTTTCCAATAAGAACAATCGCAGCATTCACAAAAGCTTCGAAGATCAGAAACCGTTATCGATGAAGGTAGCAATGATTTGTTACCCCTGAGTCATTTACCAAACGTCATTCTCGCATTCCGCGCCTTGCACATCCGTCACAAATGGCAAAGCACTGTTAGTATCACCACCAGCACCACGAGAGGTACTGTATTTGGCCTGTGGTTTCTTGTTCTTGCCTTTCTTGCAATATTTTTTCACATGTCCCTTTACATCGCGCGTAAACCACTTAAGCACTTTCTTTTTCTTCATGTCACTTGATTTCTCGGAAACACGCGTTGAATTTGCATCACTTGTCATATTACAATATACTAGAATATAGAATATACTACTTAGAGTGGCTGAAGCGCCTCAATCTTTGAAGCAAATTGAAGCCGTGTTTTTGCCGTTATAGCAGCGCCCTCTTGGAAACAAAGAATTCTAACATTAAGTTGGCTACGGATGGGTGGGCGTGGGTCGCGTGTAATATAAATCCTCTTATTGTGTATTCTCATTATCAAAAACGAATCATTTAAAAACGGAATGCCAATATGTTATGAGAACGAATTGAGAAACTTTAAATACATGTTGCTTCCAGCATCGATTATTGTCATAAGAAAGGAAGCTATTGAAATGGTACTGTAGTTAACATAAAACCTGAAAGCGAATGTAATTGCAATACCGTTAAACGAAAAACAATAAAGAAATAAGTTGTGATACGAGCAACACCACGTCGATTCAGTATAGAAGTTGAATACACCGCCGTTTTGACTTCAAAAAACATGGCAGCCTCTGGTTTGGCGAGCCTTCATCAAGAGCACTGAAACTATAGGGACAGCCACTCTCTGTAGTATATTCTAGATCGTTGGTTGTTTTTATTACTCATATCAGGTGATACAGCAGTGCACATTATTCATCATTCTCCCTGCCCTACATATTTGCGACATTAATAAGTATAGACGATTCTCACTTTCTTGAAGAAACTTCACGTGTCACGAGAAGGAATTTTGAAAACTAGTTTTTCCAATATAGCTTTTTTATGGCAAAAAGTAGATTTTCAACTTCTTAAGAATGCTGGTTGTAACAACCTAAACGTACATTTCTTCTGCAATTATAGATTTTCATATTAAGAAAATTCAAATAACAATAGTATTGATATTATTGTTAGCTATTTGTTCTTACTAACTTCGCAGAACAACGCACACGTTGGATGGATTCCTCTGTTAATACACTTGACTCAAAGAGGGCTGCTCTGTTTCAGGCAGACCCTGGCAGTGTTAGTTAATTATAAATAAACTTTCTTGTCGTCAGAAGATTACCATTTCAGGCTGTATGTGTGTTTCTGCGATTCATACCAAAAGTCTCACGGTTGCATCATGTTTGGACGTTGCCATGCGCCGTTTCATTGACGTCCATGGACAGCGGGCTGCCTATTATATCCGCACGTTTTATTGAGCTCCGCAATATCTACCCCTACTCCTTTCCCAACATAAGTTAAATTAAGAATAAATGATAACAACGAGCGTTGTAGACAAAATATGGTAACGAGAAATGTTCGCCCTCGTATATTAGAAACTATTTTGCATCGAAAAGTGAACTACAAATTCGACGTAAAATTCCTTTTGTCAAAATAATCAAACTCCTCTCGCATCTAGCGAAGCAAGGGCTCAAGAAAACGTGCGCGGATAATACGTGCGACGATGAACAAACAATTGTTTAAAATGTTAATTATGTGTGCCCCACTTTAAATTTGGCATATATACACAAAATGAGTGTAAAAATACATCGGTATTTTTTAAAGTTAATTTAAGTGTCGATCGAAAGTAGAAAATTGCATTTTAAAAATTAAAATATTTTTTAAATATTTATATAACATATTTACAAAAATTATATTTACATCACATGAAAGTATATCTTTTTAAGTTAAATTTAAGTGTAATTTTATTTTTGTGTATTAAACGGCAAAAAAATTTTAAACACTAGCGCGCGCATGATTCTTTGGAAAAAGTAAATGGTAATATTTCTGAAAGTGATTAGAAAAACAGAAAAAACTGTGACAACTATTCTCAACCCTAGAACTCATAAAAAAAATTCAAGTCGCTAAAAAATAGTGATGTTTTGTGAGTGTGAGATTTGACGTGGAACGACTCGTACATGGACTTAGTGTAGTGCCTTAGTTGGTATGCCTAGCTGTTACTTTTATACTCTTTGGTGACTTGCGACGTTTATATTTATCCTTTGCCTAACACTCTTGCTCTGATTTTGCATCCATCACAACCCAATGGACCCATTTCATCACATAAAATCCCATAACTTGTGTAGGCAATAGATAATTGTCCATGTTTTTTTTTGTTGAAATTAAGACTTTTTTTATGTTTTGAAATTGTGTTATTTGGTGGTCGATTCGTATTGGAGTTGAGTCAATTTTGTTGGGTTTAATATTAACAGTACTATACTATAGAAGTAGTTCGTTATGAACTGTCGCCTTCGGATTAGAACTGCCTGAGTTTTACTCAGTTCATTTTGAACATTACAGTGTGTTACGTTTTTAAATTATGACAAACGTTTAAAACGTACATTCGTGTACTTTGCATTGATATCAGGGTTAAGGCGTAGCAAAAATGCCTGCTAATAGTTCTTTAAAAATTGCTGTAATTTGCTCCAGTAACATGAACAGAAGTATGGAAGCTCATGCGTTTTTGAGGTTTGTTATTTTTTGAGGGATTATACAATTACTTTTAGAATTTTTTTTCTTATTGATTTTAATTTTTTTCAGCAAAAAAGGATTTCAAGTAAAATCATTTGGAACTGGAGACAAAGTGAAGCTTCCTGGTACAGCACCTGACAAACCAAACTGTTATGAGTTTGGAGTTACATATGAGGATATTTATCAAGATTTGCTTCTAAAAGACAAATCTTTGTATCCTTTTTATTTGGGAGTATTCATCTGAAGTTTATTTTATGTGTGAATATTTGAAAGATCGGGGAGTAAGTCAGTAACAAGATAAGTCGCACCAACAGCAAGCCTTCTGCTAATTGTAAACGATAATACTTCAATTTTGGTTGATGTTTGTCTCATTTACGTTTTAAGACACAGTTTACAAGATAGGCCACTCTTCCATCAAAATTAAAATATTTACAAATAGAGTGTGTGTTTGTAAGGGAACCAGAGGGGGCTTGCTGTGACTGGTGTAAGTTATCTCGTTACTACATCAATCCCTTTGATTCAAAATGGCAAGTCAGGGTTTTCAGACTTCAGTTTTTGGGTGAAATGTAGTATACAGTACAACCTAAAAATTGGTTTAAACTGACACTTCGTGTCGTTCCAGCGTTAACTAGACAAAATTCTGGAGGCTTTGTTGATATGTGATGTCTTATAAAAGTGAATTGGTAATTATGCGTTGGAGAGACTCAAGGTTGTTTATAGTGAACACAAGGGCCGAAGGCCTGACCCTCGCCTGACTTGGATCCGGGCATGTAAAGCGAGAAAACTTGCCTTTGAAAGTAAATTGGCGTTACAATGGGGCGGGGACAAAGCATATGAAGGGCTAACCGTGAAAATTGCCTGTCCGTAAGTTTTATTCATTTCTATTAGAGCACGTACAGTATTTAGGGCTTAAGCCCTGCCGCTATGCTTCTCTAAGGGTGTACTGTATACTAAATTTTAACCCAGTTTTTTATATGCTTTTGGTAATGAACTGTGTTGGTGCTATATATTCCAAACAGAATTTTCAGTATATAAAGAGACTAAAGGTAAAAAGCTCTTTTTTAAAATGCAATGCCTCTTAAGCATTGGTGAATCAGACATATAAGACTAGGAATAACAACCCCCATTTGTTAATTGAGTGGAATTGTGTACTTCAAGTAACTTGGTCATAGGAATTTGTTTGCTATAAACATTTTTAAAGCAACATTACTCATTGTTATACTTGATACAAAGTGAAACTGTTTGAATGCTATATTAATTTGTTTATGTATTGTTTTTTAAGTGTTAGTTTAAATCTCATTTAAAATGGATTGTGAATGATTGTTTACCTTCAACATTGTAAAAATTATTTACTTAACTTGGTGCAGTTATACACAGAATGGTTTGCTTCACATGCTTGATCGAAATCGGAGAATCAAAACAAAACCTGAGAGGTTCCAGACATCAAAGGAGAGATTTGACATTCTAGTTACATGTGAAGAGAGAGTATACGATCAAGTGATAGATGGTATGGGTATTCACTATTTCAGGAATTTAAAGATAAATAATTAGAAAGTGGAGTGGATCATTTTAATTCAAATTCCTAGTATATCTCAAAACTTACTTATCCAAAATTCAAATTCGCCAACACATTCCTTCTATTTTCTCGCTACAGCTTATGGAGTGTAGAAAAAGTATTGTAATTTTGCTGGGGACAATTGCGAATTTTTAGCTGAAAAACTCTTATTGCTGAGCTCTGATAATGAAGAGTGGACAAAAATCTTGACTCTGTCTTACTTCTTCTTAACACATGTAGTCAGAATATTATGTTTTGTCAGTCCTTAATACCGATAAATCAACAGACGGTGAGACATGTGTCCGTTTGTTTGTCTGTCCGTCTGTAAAGAACACTAGCGCCAAAACCGTTCAGCAGATTTCTTTCAAAATTGGTATTTCCTAATCGATCTGGCTGATGTCATGACTCCTTGAATTTGAAACTGATATTTTAATTTTGCGGATACTTGAATGAAACCCCTGGGAAATTTTCAAAATATGGTACCAAATTTGTTGATTAAATTTTGTTGTCAATTATCAAAAAAGGCCACTTCAGAGAATGGAACAGGTCTACTTTTCATTAAAATCCATGATTTTTTGAAAATTGCAAAAATGTATAAAATAGATTTGGTGTCTTCCTACTACCAAAATATTGAAGATAGAGAAACCCTTAATGAAATCTACTAAGAACCTTTAAAGACAGATTTCGAGATAAGGTTATGCACAATTTTCAAAAATGTTAGTAGTTTTGTGTTTAATATAAGTAATTTTAAATATTTTTAAACAATTTTTTCTCAAAAATGGCTCCAAATTCTTTGAATTGATTTTGTCTTCAGATACTGTAAAGGATGCTAAAGAGAATGTTGGAAGTTTCATGATTTTTGAAATCTCTGACTTTTCAAAAATTGCAAAAGCCCCCCAAAAAATTAGGCTTCTTCTGAGTACACAAACTATTATGAAGATATAATTTTTTTTTTTCCTTCAGGAAAAGTGTTCATGAGAAACAGATTTGAAAATAAGGTCAAGTTCAAGTTTTTGAAAATGTGCGTATTTCTTGCGTAATTTGGCTTCAAATGCAAGCAATTTTTAAGTTTTAAATAATTATTTTCACAGAAACGTCACAAAATTTAGGTCTAATGTAATGCAAATAGGGCTGGTGTGATTTTCAGAGCGTTTTCGATATTTTCGGAAATTGGAGGAAAAAATGAAATGGTAAATTTGAATTTCCTATGCTTTGTTTGGTGTAGTGTTGAAACGCATTGCTCTCTGATTAGCAAGCAAATACATTTCAATCACACAACTGTTATTTATATAAAGAAGGAAATTGTAAATAATATATTACAATAATCATTAACTTATAGTGTGTTTAAAGTACTAAGTAACTCTTTCCATTACTGTTAGAAAGTATGTGATGCCGGAGCTCCACTAGATATAAAAAAAGAGTAATTATAGTACCTTAGCTAACTCGTGGTTATTTTCTCTTTTACTTGAGACTGTGGATTCTTAAAATGTTTATTCAGTAAGAATTTGGAATTTTCTTGGAATTCAAATTTGTGTCTTTCTTTGGTTTGAATGATCCAAATTTACAAATAAAAATCATGTGCCCCCCTCCAAATTATTGAAAAATGAGCTTACAACAGCCCATTTGTTTAATTGATTTGATTATGAGTTTGTGATGTTGTGATTCTTTCATTAGCAATGGAGAGCAAGACACCTGTTGAAAATGCACCAGTGCATGTAATTAATATTGATATACAAGATAACCATGAAGAAGCTACACTAGGTGCATTTCTTATCTGTGAACTAATGATTAAGGTAAACGAATTAAGTTATATATTGTAGAACTAAGTTAACAAAAATACAAATGATATCTAGTATAATTTCCTTTATTTTAAACATGTTTACGATTTAATAGTTTCAACAGTAGAAATATACTGCAATTTTTATCAAAAATTGTGCAGTGTATTGATTTCCTCTTCTCTCATGAGGCTCGTGTAAATTTTTATTTCTATTCCATTTTGTTGAGCTTTTTATCTTTTAAACTATGTTAACAATATTATAGAATTAAATCTGTAGTTTGTTCACTGAAGCAACAAGTTTTGTGTAATTCAACAGTGAAAATTTCTTGTTTCTCAAACGTTTAACTTGTTTTGTATGTATTAACTATGTTGTAAAAAGGCAGGGAAGAGCTCAAGAAAACACGCACAGATTTCTCCTGATAAGTCACAAGTTTCTACTGTTTTTTTGTCAATCAAATTAAATCTATCAGCTCTGTCTACATTGTTTGATGAACTTAGTTGTGTGGTTAGTTTATGATGTACCATATTAACCTAGCTTTGTGTCAGCAATTATAAAAATGGATTTTATAATGAAAGTGAAATTACGTCAATTAAAAGTCAATCAGGAGAGGAAGTAGTGGGCAACATCTGATGTCCCTGCAGTACCTCTGACCTAGATTCAAATTGTGACTGTGGCACAATTTTCAATCTCTATGTAGATAACTAGTTTCAGTTCAGTCACTATCTGGAGGAGAATTCCAGCACCTGACTGTTCTATTTGGTGGTTTCTCTGATCAATACCAGACAAATGCTGGAGGAGTATCCTAACAAATGGGCTATGGACCGGGTAAAATACTTTCTTCCCCTTCCTTGTCCTATCCTTCCTATCCTTTCCCCTTACTTACAATTACACGTAGTACACTACCACATGTGCCGGGAGACAGGCCGGAAGCTTAAGAGCTTGTCGTGGCCGGGGAAGTGCCCTGTTGGTGGGGGAACTGCACTAGCTGACAGGTAGTTTGGCACCGGATCTCACCATTCAGCAGGAAAATATCATTGTCTCCTTCCAAAGAAAAGAGCATGAATTACACTTACAGGAGTAATGACCTTAGCCATTGACACACACAGAATTGCTAATCAAAGCAAACTGAGAAATTTGGAGATTTAACTATGCTTATCACAATTCCGTGTAACTTTCAGGCTATCATATCTTGGTTCTATGATCTCTTAGTGAAGTATTCAGGCTCTGCCTGGATGTTTGTTTATCATAAGTGGACCACTTTTTTTTAGTCCATAAATGCCTACCCAGCCACTTCTCCTGCTATTACTTTTTTTACTTTCCCCATGTTTACTTTGTAAGAAGAGATAGTATTGTAATCGTGTGCTCAGAAACTGCGAATTTTTGACAGTAAAGCTCTAAGGATTGACTATCAAAATAAGTAATCTTAATTAATTCCGTCATCATATTTACCATACTTCTTTTTATCATTTATTCTAATATTATCAATAATTTTATCCAAAAAAAAAACAAAAACTTTTAGATGGAGAAAAAACTTCACCATTTGAATGTGGATTTGAACCAAAAAGATGAGCCTGCTTACCATTCTCTTTACGATTTTTCCTAATTGCAGTCATTTTTGATGGAGGAATTGCTTAATTTGCTAGGCCCTTATAATGAAAAAATTGATAAATCTTATCCTGTAGAAAGTAAGTTACTTCTTCTAACTCATAGTGTAGTCAGACTCCGTTTTGTGTGTCTTTGATACTGAAAAATCAATTGACGTCTGTAGTCAACAGTAGCGCCCAAAACTTTCAACTGATTTTCTCCAATATTGAGATTCTCCTATTGATTTAGTGATATTGAGTCCTCTGTGTTTGAAAAGGATATTTTGATACCCTTTTGGCACAACATTTTTTGATTAAATATTTTTATCAAATAGCGTAAAGGATGCCACATATCACATTTTTGAATTATATAGATCTCATTTTTGTTAAAATTCCCAATTTTTTCTAAAATTTCAAAAGTTCAAATTTTTCCTACAACTACAAAATTGAAGATAAAGATTTTTTCTGGAATGAAATCTGTTCTTTAAAAACAGATTTTGAAATAAGGTAATGTTCAATTTTTCAAAAATACGAGAAGTTATTGTGTAATTTTGTGTAGAACAAAGCCAGTTTTTAATTTCTTTAAAAATTGTCTTCCCGAAAACGGCTTCAGATTTTTTTCATTAAACTTTCTCGTTGCGTATATCAAAGGATTGAAAAAATGGGGCTAGTCTTATTTCCAGTAAAGCTTCAGTATTTCGAAAATAGCAAAATTTTATCATTTAAAAATTACAAAACTGGAGCTAGAAATTTTTGTCTTAAACAAAATGTGTTTAAAAAATCAGCTCTTTAAAAAGGTAATGTACAATTTTTTGGAATGGATAGAACAAGGAATATGTAAAAGAATGGCACAAATCTCATTTTCATTGAACTCTATGACTTTATGAAAATTGCAAATTTAGGAATAATTTGAGAAAGTTTCTGCTGTGTTAGCTTTACTAGTTTCTGTAATTATACTGGTTGTCTAATATGAACCAGTGATATTAATTATTAATTAGTTTGGTGCTGTTTGAAATGGAAATGTTAATGGATTGTGTCAGAGCAAATGGTACACCAAGTGATAAATTCAATGTAAGCAAGATAAAAAAATATTTGTGAGAACAACACGTGTGTGTTTCATGATTCAAAAGTGAAACTGCACTGCACAACAAAAACAAAAAAACTTCCTGTTCTATAAGGTCAAAGAACTGAACAATAATTTTGAAACAAAGACTCAATACAAAGCAAACAACTCAAAAATATGAAATTCTGAACCTTGCCAGCAAGTTCATCATTTATTGAGGTTATTTTTTATTAAGAACAATCTTTGCTTCAACTTCTTCGGTGACGTTTACTACTTTTTATTTCTGTTCCCGACTCGTACTTCTTTTCCTGCTTCCAATTCTTCCTTTACTTCTGGGACTCCTATGTATTGTGCATCTACTGAAAATACGGTACCTACTGAGACTTCAATGACTAGCACTCCTTCGCCTACGTATACTTCTGCGGTTGGAATGGTAACTCGAACTTCTACGTTGACTGAGACTTCTGCAACGACAGACTGCGCCTGCTCCGACTTAATCCTCCGTTTACTCCGACTTCTCCTTCAACCACTCTTTACTGATGCCATTGCTTTCATATTTCGTGAAACAATTTCTGTTGCAATATTTGCTTCCGATCTCTTCACTGTTCTCTTCGGTCTTGATAATCTTCGAACGAAATTGCGTCCCATTTTGTCATTGTCAGGAACTTATTCCACCATCTTTCCATCTTCAGGTGTTTTCCTTTTAGTTTCTGTATAAACACGTACGATTTCTAATCTATTTTCACATGTTAAATTCAAATCAAGTTTACCATTGTCTACAACATATCCATGACAGTATTTTGAGTATTTAAGCTAGTTTTGGTTTCCTCACAAATTAGAGTTTTTGCAGGGCGGGAAATCAGTTTTCGTAGTACGTAAACATCGTTAATAGAAAAAATGTATCTTCAGAAAAGAGTTTTTTGCAAGTCGTACAATCTATTATTGGCAGCGAGTGATTGGATGAATCAACTGTTCTTTCGCGCCTTTCCCACCGTTGGAATCGGAATCGTTTTATCACCGATTACTTTGTAGTTCGCCCTTCTCCCGTTCACGAATTTATACCGTTAATGAGTTAATGTTTTTGAAAGTAGTCGTTATAATAAAGCATTTATTTTATACTTTGAATTTGCCTTTTGAAAATACTGTCTGAGAGTTATTTTACAGTGTACATTGCCACCACATTTTTCCGCGTTTCCAATCGATAATCTGTACAGTTGCACCGGTTACTCCGAGTGAATTGGTCCATCATCATTGTAGTTCGTCGATGTTACGTCTGCTCCGCGGTGGCGCTAGTGAATAGTGAATCGACTTTGTGACTCACTCGTGAGAACGAACCTCAGACCTCTATGAAGAATCGTGCAACTTTCTGAAGTGTTGTCTATTAAAGAATTCACCTATAAACTATGGTTCTATAATTTAATGTACGTTTAAAATGTATAAACCACAAATTAATGCAGTTATGTAAAGGTTACAACTGACTTTATAAATATTCCATGTATAATAATACTTCTTCCATGCATTTATTGTTTATTGATTTTTGGAAGGGAACTTCGGATTAATTGGGCAGTTTGACCTAAATTATATTATTGATTTCATGATTCATAAGGGCATATTGTGTTCGTTTCTTGCGAGGTGTTGTAAAGATTCTATGATTTTAAATGTTAATTACATTATTAATTACAATATCCATTTTCTCGAGATTTTGGAAGAATCGCGTAGATAGCTGCGTTCCGCCAATCACGGTTCTGATACCACCACATCTAGTGAACGATTTCAACGAATAAGTCCGAAAACCATCACTTGTTCTACCGAAGCATACGTTAAAACTAGGAACTAATTCGAACTGAATCGGAAAACTTTTATTGAACATCTGTGTATCTCTGAGTCTTTTTGCTTTTATAAGCATTGCAAGATAGTAAAGATGGTCCTAGAATGTAACTCCGCAATTGAACTAATACATATTTATATTGTTTATTTATTAGGAGTGTGAAATGCACAACACTTTTAACGCCATTTGGATAAATATTTTTTTGTGACAATCAATGTAGCATCTTATACAAACCTCAAATCCTTAACAACTACTCCCTTATATTCCAGATATATTTGAATTAACTTGAGAAATATTGACCATTAAGTTCTTGACTTATATACGTACTATGGATATTGCACTTGTCATTTCTTCTATGCTCATTGTGCATTAGTGTTATGTGTTTAGTGGTGTCGCGTCATTTGATGCCGGCTATGTGCAGTACAAATTCTCCTCAGAATTGTCGTGTAATCCACGACTTTTAGAAATCTCTATTATTTTCAATGTCCTTTACTCATCCATTCCGATAAATAAACACATTTGATGCTTCATTTATGAAAGTCATAACCCGATTCATTTTCTAAAAATATCACGTCCCTAGATTCGTATATCTTGGTAAATACACAACTGTTTTTTCGTGTATTTTATTCCCTTCATCTTATAGAAATTTAACAGCGGAGCATTTATAAATTCCCCATAATTTAGAGTTCTTACGTATTTCACTTTCTTTCCGATTTCATTTCTCCTATGCTTTATGAAATATATTGGCGCATTCATGTTTATTCCTTAGAATTTCCACAAAGTATCATCGACGATCGGCGTCATATATATATATTTTTCCTACCAATAGATAAAACAGACATCGGACCACATATCTATAAGTGCGTTTTTTTATAACTGCTCAATGCCCAATTTCACGATGGCGTTATGCCACTGTTTTTCGCGTTTTTATCGGTTGTGCCGCTAGATGTCGCGTAATTGCGACTGTATAGCATACGGATGTGGTCATGCGACATTATCGGCACGACCGAGAGAGACGTACAGTGACATAACACCATCGTGAAGTAAGGCCTTGACCGAAGAGTTAAAATTCGCTCTGTATGTGTAAACTTTGCAAAGCTTGGCGGCTCAGCAGTTATTTATCTAAACGGTAATCGTGTAGGTTTCCCGCGCATGCAAGCCTCACATTTTTCATCTTCTTATTGAAATTCTTCTAAACCTTTGACCATTTTGTGTTTCTTCATCTTCACGTAATTCAAGTCATCATATCCCAACCTCCTGTGCCATAATCTCGAAACATTTTTCACTTGTTTTAAAACACACATTATTAGAATTACTTGTACAGTACTTTGGATCACCCAACACCA